TCCCGTTTTTTTGTGTTTGTGTTTTTTTTTTTCACGTTCAGGTGCCTCCATCCTTCAAGCTGTCTAGTTCTCCAGTTTGAAATTACTTTTGCTTGCTTTGTCTGTGTCCTTGCCGGAAAAAAAGTAATAATTCTACAGTTGCTGACTTTTAATGAAAGAACTTTCCAGTCGACTATTGCGTGTTTTCAATATCGATGTTTTCAAACCAAAAGGGGAATGTTTTTCAGGCGTTAACACACAACTTTCAACTGTTAGGCAGAAAACAGGCGATGTTTATTTTGCCCCTGCCTCGTAACTTTTTAAAGGATTGGCGAATGGGTGAATGTGATGGCTTTATGTAGCTTTTTCCCCCCCCTCCCTCACTCTTTACTGCTTTCCCCACATGATTTGCTGCGCCGATGTGCTAGGAGGCTCCTGAGAAGGAGTAGCCGCGCCGAGCCTGCGGCTGTAAAACTGTCAGCTCTGAAGGGGTGTTTACTCAGTGAGCTGTATCTTTCACACATGCACCAGAAATACAATTTACTAACCCAAACACCAGGGTTGTCGCTCCGCAGCCGCTGGTCACTGAGGTGACTGGGAGCGCGTAAACTTTTATTCTCTGGGGTTTTGTCGTTCGTGGCCCAGCGTTTTCTTTGAACAAAGCAGGTAATCCTCTTGTGCTGGTGCTTAAAGCCGAGCTGCGTGGAGCCAGTTTGCTTTTCTGCTCATCACCCGCAGCTCCGGTGTTTTGACAGTTGCGATTTACGTGATGTACTGCCCGCCCGTAACTTCTTTAAGGAGAAAAAGTGCTTTTGTAATAGCGGTTGCTGAGGGCAACGGCCCACTCCTTCGTGTCGCTATATCCCAAAAATTCTCGGCTCGAGTAGCGGTGAACGCTTCACGGCGTGATTTCTTAACGCTTTTCCGTTAAACTTGGTATTATATGCCCTAATTACAACCAGCGTGCTTTTGTTCCACCAAACTAAAACAGGCGGCGAGCGCCGCTCGTGTGATTTGAATGCGTCGAAACCAAACCCCTACTTTTTTAAAGCGGTTACGAGCCTGTCTTGTGGAGAGGGCTTGATAAGAGTGCCGCTCCATTAAAAAGAACTAAGCATTTTCCCTGCAATCCCTTCTCCAAAACAAGAGGGAAGCCGCCGACTGGCTCGGTCTGCATCCCAGAAAAACCTGCAGGCTTGTGAAGCAGCCTTAGAAACCCATGACCGTTGCTCAAAACTATTCGGTTATTTAAAGCTGGACTCGCAGATAGAAATACCGAGATGGGATCCACGGCGTTACCTGCCTGCTTCATGTTAAAAGGTATTCTTTTTTTTTTCCTCCTCTGGAGGGTAGGAAGTAAGATGGGAGCAGCTCTAGTGGCAAGGGATTAGTAATTCACCCAAGGATGAGCGCGATAGCTTTGTCGCTTGGATTAATGCGGTTTACACCCTTAAGCTGCCCTGAGTGCTTGTAAACAGCCGTGCCCGCAAGGTGAAGTGCGGGGCGGCCTCGGCGCGGCAGCTTGGAATGGCTTTTTTTTGTTGTTGTGTTTTTGGCCATCCCTTGTGCAATCTTGGTCATTTTTCATTCTTTTGCAAGCGCTGGGGTCTGGTGGGACACCAGCTCGAGCTGGTGCTCCCTCCGTCTTTGCCTACCAGCCCTTCTGGGTGCCGGCGAGTGGTGTTTGGGCCGGGACTCCTGCGTGCTCCCTCTGCTGGCTCGCTGGGCAGCCTGGCTGGGATGCACTGGTACTAAACTTTGTGTTTCTTACCCCAAGACTGAGGGGAAAAAATCACGTAAGGAGAGGCCTGACTCTGCTACGGCGGCAAATCCCACCAGCGCTTTCATTATCTCAAGGTGTGCTGTAAGCCTATAAACTGAGGCTCATGCTTACTTTGGCTCGCTGGTGTGCCAGAGGAATAAGGCAGCTGTGCTCCAACTTCAGGTGATGTCACTTGAGGATTTTAACTGTCAGAGCTTAAAAATACACTGACTTGTTTAAAGACTGCCTCTGCAGATGTGGAAACTGTGAAGCAAAGCAATTGATTCGCTCGCGTGAGCGCACAGCCGTACTGGCGTTCGTCATCTCATAAATCCTCCTCTGCGTATCCCCGAGCAGACCTGCTTTGCCTAACAAAGTCTTTGGTCGTACCAAGACCGCTGAAATTAATTTGGTGGCTGCTTGAGATAAGACGCTGCCACGAAGTGTAAGACTGGCAAAGCTTCGGCTGCGGCACCAGAGAAAACTTAACTGGGAAGCATGTGGTGATTAAATCATCTTGGGAATAAAGCGGTGCCTGATGCAGACGTGCGTGTAGCTAATTGCGCGGTACGGTCGAGCGGCACCTTCTCCCGGTGCTCCTCTTCGCGTGGTTCTTAGCGTTGTTGATGTGACTGGACGCGTAGAGGGCCGACTGCTTTGACTTCAGCTTCCCTGGGAAGTTGATCGCAGGGCTGGGTGCGAGGAGCAGCAGGTCACACAAACATATGCAAAACGACATGAAAATGCGTTTCGTGGAGTTCATTTTGCTTGGCTCGGGTCCTGTGGCAGCCCTTATGTCTGGGTGACAGCTGCAAATTTTGTTGCTGGTGAACTTGGTTCCAGCCAGGCTTTGAAACCTTTGGTTTAGTAGCAGAAGCCCTGAGACTGAGCGAGTCTTCACCCACAAACCTGTTGAGATCTGGTATTGCAGATAACACTTTATATGGAATCGCTTTAATCGGCGCGCTGCACGCAGCTCAGAAACCTGCCTAACGTCTTTTGTTAGGCAACATCTAATTTGTATGAATTAATTGATACTGTAAACTTGACCTTTGTATGTAGAGTCAGTTTTTTTGTCTACTGCTTTGCTTACGATCTGTTGACTAGCGAGTGGCTCCCTTCAGCTGAGTCACCCCGCTTTCCCACTTGCTGCAGTGTGTTTTTTTTTTCCTATCGGTTTTCTGGTTTTCCTCAGTGTTCCAGTGGGCCGGGGAGCTTCTGAGCCGATTCCTGTCTGCAACTGGGGTGAGACTGATCAAAAACGCTGGCTTCTGGAGCTTAAAAACTTGTTAAAGACTTTAAATCTTGTATCAAGTGGAATCGGTCAAAATTCCTCTTTAAATGGGAATTTCCAGCTTGTCTTGCAATCCTGACTCTTAGGGCTGGTACACGGGGACCAAACTGTGTTCTCCATAAGCTTTTTTTGCTGTTTCGATCTAGTTTGTTAACGGGTGAGCCGGTACTAGGTCTGCTCTCTAGGCGCATTCCCTTTCCTGCTAGCTTAATGCTCTCCTGGTGGCCTCCCTGAGCAAGCCCTGGTATCGTGTGTCCCCTTCTCCCACATCGCTCGCTCTGGGATAGTGTTTGTCCCTGGCAAATGCAGCAAAAAACTCTTTGCTGTATTACTTCAGCTAACGAGAGGTCTCCAGCTACCCAAGAATTGTTAGAATAGGTAGTTTCCTCTCGCTGTGTGTGTATCTCTCTCTCTTTTTTTCAGTTGAGCGTTCTTCCAGTAATTTCCTTGGTAGATGGCTCAGTACAACTTCCAGGGCTGAGTGTGTCATAGTTTTCCACTTAGTTTCCCCAGCTCGTTTCTCCCTTTCCGGTGCGGATGATGATTCTCCAGTGACAGTTATCACTTTAGGGTAAACTGCTTGTTCAGCCCTACGAGGGACTTGTGCATCCAGACCACCTGTCTTTTCCATTAAGCCCCTGCTTGCTCTTTCTATGTGAGAAATATCTTCTGTCTTTCAACAGGAGGGAAAATAATCATGCAAGGTGGGTTGTTTTCCCATTTCCCCATACCTACGAGATGTCTCGGAGCTCTTCTAGCCAGGTGGGACTCTATTTTTTTTTTTTTTTTTTTTTTTTTTTTTTCCCCCCCGGGGGGCGTTTTCCGTACACATCTC